TAAAATACAATTAAATCAAAATCTATTGATAACAATCGTTCTTATTGTACAAGAAATTTTAACATATTGTTGTTACAATCAAGGTTGCAAAGACTCATTTCAGCTAAAATAATGTTTTTCGGAATAATAAAACCAAAAGATGGTATGATGGCATGTTTTACTTGTAACTTACAAGAAGAGGTTACAAAGTATGCGTTGGAAACATAAAACCTGTAAATTTTGCTTTCTATGAGTCACAATCAGCGATTTGCTGATCGCTGAGTGAGTGAGTGAGTGAGTGAGTGAGTTTGTGAAAAATCGCTGATTGTGACTCTCATGAAGTGAAATAAACAGGTTTAATATGTCAAACACATTCTTTGCAACCTCTTCTTGTATCCTACCAATTCAAAATTTGATCATGGCATCTAATTATTTCATAATTTAGAAAAACATTGTTTTAGCTGAAATGAGTCTTTGCAACCTTGGTTACAATAGATTTACAATACGTCCCATGTAGTAAGAATTTTCATCAATAGAACAACAATATAATTAATGGTTAATGGCTCATCTTTGTTTGGGAAAAAGTGATTTTCTTATGGTTAAGATACATAACCCCTTGTTCTATTGTAGATTTCCCCATTTACCTATTGTGAAAACAATACATGCTATGGTTATTATATCGTTGTAGACAATATTATTTATTGAAAAATGAAAATACAATAAATTCTATTGTATGGTTACAATACATTTAATTGTGCATCTATGATTCTTTTTTTACGGGTTCTTCAAGTTGCGCTTGATGATGGCCCAATATTTCTTGATTGGACGTAGCTCTGGTGTGTTGGGAGGTTTCTTGTCCTTGGGCACTACCTACACGTTGTTGGCGGCATACCACTCCATGGGCTTTTTTCCGTAATTGCAGGATGTCAAATCCGGCCAAAACAGCACGGAACAATCGTGTTGCTTCAGGAAAGACAGTAGACACTCGCTCACGTAAATTTCCTGGTTGACGGTCGCGGTTGCAATGAAAATGTCGCTTTTCAAGCCACAGATACAGATAGCCTGCCAAACCAGATATGTCTTAACGAGCTTCGACAGTTTCATATGCTTGAAAATGTCTGCCACCTTTCCTCTTCCGGTTGCCGCATAAAACTCCTGTTCAGGAAGCTGTTTGAAGTCTGCCTTGACGTACTCGGCGTGCGAGTAGCGGATTTGCATGCGCATGCAAAATTTTGATGCGTAGTTCCTCTTGCTTGGACGCTATTTTGATAACTCAAGAGAGGTGTTCAGGTTTTTTAAATTCTCGCTTTAAAGAAATGCGTCAAGTTTAAGTCGACCAAATTTTGACCGTAACACCCCTTAGAAAATAAATGTCTCTGATCACCTGATGGTCTTGGGATATTTTTGGGGCCATTATCAAAGAGATGTAAATTGAATTGATGAACAGTTTGAGATCTTCAGTACCATAGTACCTGATCAACCTGAGGTCTTGAAAAAAATATCCACAACACATGAAGGACTTTGGAATAATTTCTAAGCTTCAATATGAGAGAAAATACTAGAGATGCTATATGGATTATGCATTGGATATATTTAAAATGATGCCTGATCAATCTGAAATCTTGAAAAACCATCTTGAGGTTTTCAAGGTGATCTCTTATCACTTGGTGTTATTTTAAATAATTGATGTGCAACCTGCAATCTTTGAGAATATCTTGGTGATGTGATTTGAATTATTGGGTAGTTGAAGATCTTCAGAATGATACCCCATCAAGTCTAAAACAAATATCTTAAAAATATGTTGGTGATCTATGATCACTTGGAGATCTTTTGAATAATTGCTGAGCAACCTGGTATCTCGAAAAATGCATGGGAGATATGATTTGAATTGTTGTGTAGTGAAATTTTTGCAGATCTTTGGATTAATTTGAGAGCAATTTGGTATTTGAAAGAATAATTGGGAGATGTCATTTGAATTGTTGACCAGTTGGAAATATTCAGAATGTCAAATGATGAAGTTGAAGTCTAAAACAACTATCGCGAGGATTTTTAGGAGATCTATGATAACCTAGATGTTTTTTGAATAATTTTTGAGCAACATCTTGTAAAATACCTTCTTTTTCTTCGCATTTCAAGCTTATTGCATATCGCCAAGGAATCAAAAATATCTCCAAATGACAAAATAACAAGCGATCAACGAACCGAATAATAACGCTATGTCAGAAGTGGAAAACAATAATGATATAATCTTCACCGTTCTTTTTCATGACAAGCAGCTCGTGCGACCCAACTCATTCGGGGCGGTAGAAGGAAACGAGCAAATTGTTGGCAAGCTGCTTCACGAAGTAAAGCCGAAGATGATACACGTGTGCTAATGGGAATTTTTTCGTTATGTCTTTTCCCGATTCATATCAAGCTATGTCCTCATCCGTGTATATTGCAACAAAGCAGGCAAGCAATATATCATTATCCTTCTACCACTCGGATCGAGCTTTGTTACAGAGCGAGTTTGTCATGGTAGTCGTAGCAACCGTTTTGTCTGTATCGTTGGTTGCTTTATGTGTTTGGATTCGCTGCATATCGCATATTAGCTTATTGCGTGCTCTCAACTTAGTGTTCTAAGATGCACTTCCACAGTTATTAATTGAGAGCTTTCGATGCCTGTACCATTTTTGCATTGGTATAATTGTGTGGCAAGTCCAATCATACTTCTATGTCCAGGGAAGTCGAGAAATTTTCCAACTCGAAAAATTCCTAGACCGGACCGGGAATTGAATCCAGCCACCTCCAGCATGGTCTTGCTTTGTAGCTGCGTCTTTAACGACTGAGCTAAGGGAGGCCTTGTAAAATACCTGGGATATGTAAATAGCATTGTTGTGCAGTTGAAGAACTTCAGTATGGTACCTGATCAAGCTGAAGTCTAAAACAAATATCCTGGGGAGTTTTTGGAGATCTATGATCACCTGGAGGTCTTTGGAATAAATTCTGAGCAACCTGGTGTCTTTAGACGATATCTGAGAGATACGAGTTGAATTGTTGTGCAGTTGAAGATATTCAGAATTATACCTGATCAAACTGAAACCTTGAACAAATATTTGAGGACTTTTGGAGCTGCCTGATCACCTGGAAGTCTTTGCTATAATTTCTGAGCAATTCTGCTATTTTAGAGAATATCTGAGAGATGTGATGGGCAGTTGAAGATTTTTAGAATGCTACCTGATCACTCTAAAGTCTTAAACGAATATTTTGATGACTTTTTGGAGCTCGATGATCGCATGGAGGTCTTTTGTATAATTTCTGAGCAACCTGGTATCTTGAAAAATATCTAGGATATATGATTTGAATTGTTGTTACATAATACATACATAATACACCTAACTTCTCCAGTCCGGAAAACATAACAAAATGTTGCGGATTTAAAACCTATTGAATAAATCGTCATGAAGAGTAAATTTTTTTTATGTCGCGGTAGATGAAGCATCATCAAAGGCCTTGACACGCCACCATATGCCCGTAGGCAGCATTACAATCGTGAAATGTCAAAACATTCCTTTGTTTGTAAACGAGCTCAATAACGCTTTCCAAAGTCTGTCTAAAGTGCCCACGCATCTTCTTGCCGCTTGAGATCTTTATTTAAAAAATACGGTTACATTTACGGTTTACACAGCAATAATCGCATAACTGAACAACTAAATACAATAACAAAAACATTTTGACCCTCAGTGTGCGCCCACGCTAATATTACATCATGCCAAATGCTGTAAGATAAGGGTGATTTTCTTGTTGCCTTGACCGCTAAAAATCAAAAGCAAGCTCGTGTTCGACGAAAACGATTTGCGTCCATTCCAATGTTGATAAACAAAAAATAAACCAGCGTGCATTCATTGCCATGGCATTTTAGTGAGCAACGATAGTAATGAGTAACGAGGATCGTATCCTCTGGAAGTGCCGCTATCAAAACTGCCGCTCTTGGCAGGTCTATTCCATAGCAAATATCAGCAAGCCAAGTTTGCTTTATACCATTGCTTTTTATGTAATGGGACCCGTTACCGTTTGACTCGTTTTCCTGAACAAGGTTGCTGAGTTAATCCAGTGTTATGAAAAAAATAGGTTAAGTTACAATGAAAAACTCAGTTTTCACAAAAACTGAAATGCGACCGACTTGCGATGAGCGGCAGAGTAAGGATAGATGATGATTTCATCTAAACTCAATTTTGATGTGTAAACAATACCTGACCATATTTTGCTCAACTTACATGTACAGTAATGACCATATTTTGACAGCCCCTTTTTGAAAATCTTTTTGCGCTTTTTCAGTGCTCTTATTGCACCAAAGCATCTATCTTGAAGAGGAATGAGAAAGTTTTGGAATTACAGTTTTGTGAAACTATTGAAAGATAAAAGTCTGATGCGCGGATGGGCTGGCAAAATCGAGTCATTACTGTAATAGATTTGAAAATCATAACACTTTAACCTTGAATGATTAACAGCGAATTCGAAACACAGCTTTTCTGCCCCTCTTCGCATGTCGGTCCCATGGCAAAAATCAGCAAGCCGAGAAAATCGCATTTTAGCTTCATTCGCACCATTGCTTCTTATGTGATGAGACAACCAATTTGGCTGTCTTTCCAAACTTTTTCAGGTCAAAGTTATTGAGTTCATCCAGTATTAAGAAAATATGAGTGATCAGCTACCATTTGCATTGTAAAACTCAGTTTTGACAAAAACTGCTATGGGACCGACATGCGAAGAGCGGCAGTTTTGGTCAGTATGAACCTCAAACTGAGGTAGGTTTTAAAATCAAACGATCAAACTGACGTTTGTCAGAAGACAAGTAGATCCAATCTTGATACCCGATCCAGGTTGGAACTGAATAATACACGAATTCGCTTTTGTATTCAACAAGATTTCTATCTCGCGAAGGCCGATTGAAAAAAAAATAAATTTGTCAAATTTTCTAAATGTAAATTGTGATGATGATAATTTTTTTTTTACATAAAATTCATCAAATAAGTACTCACATTCCGGGCTCTGCACCTCGCAACCGCCCTTCACGATAGCATCGAAACTATTCCTCAGGATGTCCTCTCGCCGTTCGATGAAATTGGCCGTTCCGACGGGGCTCTCTACCTTGGAACCCTTCCACTGCCGCAGCAACCAATTGGACGCCTGCTGTCCCAGGACATTGTTGTCACCTTCGTAAGTACAACTCGGGTCGTGATTGTTCCTCAACTCGCCCAGATTGGCCGCCTTCAGATATCCGTGGCCGCCGCATGCTTCGCGTGATTCCTGAATGGCATCCCGAGCCGTCCACGTTACCAGCGGCTTCGAAGACGACACCAGTGCATGCAGCTCGGAAACGATCTGCGTCAGCAGCTCGAACCCATTGGATTCGGCTTGTGATTTCTGGACCGTCTCCAGGTAGATTTCCGTCAGGGCGTATACCGATACCTTAAGAATGCAGGCCGCTGCTAAGTACGGGAAGGTTCGCCATTGCTAAAATTCGAGAGGGTTAGTAATGTAATGACCTATTTTTAATGAAGAAAATATTCTCTTACATGCAACTGATACTCAATAATAGACTGCTCCGGACCGTCCCTCTCGGGTCCAAACTGTTTCCTCAGTGCGGCATATCGGACTGCAATGACGGCCGCGTGCGAAAGGGTATTTGACGATTCTTGCATAATACCTAGCCGACCGGCCGAGAAGGATTCCAACACGGCACCCAAAATTTTCCCCGGTTCCGTAAACGTACTCTCGTAAACGCCTTCCGGTGTAACGTCTCCAGTTCGGTTCAGTAAATTCTCTCTCGGTATTCGGTAGTTGTTGAACATGACGAACCCGTTGTCGATGCCATTCAAACCGATCTTTTCGCCAATGTCGCCTACGATTACACCCGGATAGGATTGCAGCGTTTTTGGGTCCCGGATTGGCACCAAGAAACCCTGCAGTCCGTGATTCTCCCCATCGCTGGTGTACATCCGGGCGAACATCAGTGCCATCGAAGCCGTTTTGCCCAGATTGCCGATCCAGCATTTGGCAGCCTCAAAGTCAGGCGTGTTAATGATGAACTCCTGCGTGTTGGGATCGTAAGTGGCCGTCGTGCGACACCGTTTTGTGTTACTTCCGTGACCGACTTCCGTGATTGCCAAGCAGGTAATAATTTCACGATTCCATGCCGCATTGTAGATTGCCGAGTGCCGTTCGGTTCCCATGGCTAGAAGAGAGTTGGTGAACAGTCCCACACCGAGAGCGATTTTGACCGACATGCTTGGGCAAACGGCATGCAGAGCTTCGTTGATGCTCATCAGATATCGTACTCGGTATTTGTAGTCCATCGAATAGACCTCGGCTGGGGCCAGCTCCAGATCTGCCACACGATTCACCTGTTTGGCTGCTCGTTCTTTCTGTTGATCTGCAGATAGAGTCGAGGTGACCGGCGTGAACAGTGGTTCCGATTCTAGCTTTCTCCATACGTCAAACTGAAACATGAGAATTGAAGTCAGTTGATTATTTTTTTCCGGGTGTTATAATCAGGCATACCTTTATTCGAACCAGGGTCGAATTTTCCAGCACCAATTTGAAGTCTTTCCAGTTGAATTTAGCTTTCTTGCGGTACTCGCACAGTGGACCTCGTGGTAAGTCCGGAATGACCTTTCGTTCGTCATCGTTCGGCATTCTGTCGGATGGGAGGCGGTGGTCCGTCGATGAGATTTAAGCTACTGAAAATGCAAACATCATATAATTAGAACAATTATTCGTAGAAAAGTGAGCAGTATCGATTGTAGGTGGTATAGCTATTAATTGATTTGGTACGTTTGGCCTTACATTGTAATCGCACTCAACGACTGTGTAAATACTGCGATAAAAGAATTTCCCTTAGCTTGTTCCAGCGATTTATGAGTAACCCGATCACTCGGTAGGTTTTACGACGGTCTAACCAATGGCTAGTGGTTCAAAATACAACAACTCGTCGATAGGGGAACGGAACAAAGAGCAAACTGTAAACGCCGGTAAAATGTGAAAAGCTAATTAAAAATGCAAAACACACAGGCGCACACAGCTACAACAATCGCAGCCGCTGAGGCGGGATTTTGGAATTAGCGAAAGTGTACTTCAAGACTGTTTAGCCGGTTGAGCGTTCATTTGGGCTTACTTTTACAATTTCAGTTTTGTTTTATGAAAACGGAATTTTACATTATTGTTTATAGCTTGTTTATAGAAATATTACATCGGCAGGTTTTCTGTGCACCAAAGATGTGTTTCACGTTGGATATTACAATTTTAAGTGGCCACGCATTTCTTTAAACATGAGTAAATCTATACAAACAGATCGAATGACGAAAATGAAACATAACAAGCTCAAACAATAAAACCGAGACATTTAATACACATATTCTTCAGGTAATACGATCCAGCGTCCCCAAATCATAGGCACTTGCAGTGCCACTTCGTGCTTTCTAGGGACTTAATCTCGGGCACTATTTTGATTTATGGTACTAAATTTGCTTCACCACCCAGCAAACATTTGGAAGCAGTTTTGTTATTGTATGTTTTCCGGCAGCAGATAATTGACCCCTGGAAAATGCAAAGTGGCACCAGATCCCGGGCTTCTGGATCGTATCACCTTAACGATGCAAATTAATTTGACGACAACGGAGGGCCCCATAAAGAAATGCATACAGTCCAAATAGTAATTTTGCACAAACTGTTCAAAATTAAAACAATCGTAAATCTCAAAATCAACCAATCACAAACCAACAACAGAATTAAATCTATATCCCAGTGGTCTCGTCTTAAGTCTGTACTCAATTATTACAGCATTCGAAGTTGACAAGTAAAACGTCTTAACCTTTAAGGTCTCAAGCATAATTTTATACGGTGTTTGAACTTTTCTGGACTTCATTAGGCTCCTATTGCCTGCAAACTTATCGAATTAATATTTGTACATTATATGCCCATAACTTCCCTAATTGATTGAAAAAGTTTCATTATTTAATAATTAATTTCTTGTGAAACTGCCTGTTCTCGAGTGTGATGTTTGAGTTTAGGTCCTAAATCCACTTCCGACTGAAGAATCTCTTCTAGTTTCTTGACGTGCTGGTTTTTTAAACATCTGATAGTGTCCTAAACTGCCGCTATTCGCATAACAGTCCCATGTAGATGTTAGTGCTGAATATCAGGCTTTTAGTTGACAAAATTTCACTCAATCGTTTTGTCGGTCACTCATTTGTAAGAAAATGGCCGAATATCAGCAAAATTTCACATGTAAACACCGAATACCAGGCGAAATAGCACTATTCGGTGCAGCTCTAGTAGATATACATACCATCAGTGATGCAAAATATCATGACACTCACTCGACACTCGTCTACGCATCAACCGACTATCGCTGACAGAACAAGTTTTGTCACTCAGTGAGAGGTAGAGCCATGGCAAACAACAATCACCAGTAATGGTCGTTACTCACAGGCAAAACGTAACACTCGCTGCTGATGATGTAAAGCATAACGAAAACAGTGAAGACTTCTGCAGTACGATGATGAGAAAAAGCGAAACGACAGAAGAAAATGAAAACAATGCCTACGCATTCCAAGTTCGTCTTGGCTCGCGTGACTGTGTGAGTTACAAACAAAGCTGGCAAAATTAAACGGAAACTGTTGGGCTCCCGCACCACCACTCTCACATAAGCAAGCAAAGCAGTAACTGCTTTAAAACGAGCACAGATGAGTGTCGTGATTATCGGGAATGACCAGATCGGTGATGGATAGCCTCCGACGACGACATTAACCAGTTGCTTTTACTTCTTTCGTCAACTTGATGTATGATTGTGATAGGCCGCAACTCTGGTATCATACCATAGCAAATAACGGCAGCAAAGTGGTGCTAGCTTACGACCCGACTTTCAAGCGGAGTACGTAGATCTGCTTCCGATCCATGTATCCGAGCATACCGATACATCAATAAATATTTGTCCACCCGAGGTCCATGCAGGTGTAAGCTTATTTTGGCTATACACTGTAGGTGGCAGGAGGCAATACGATTTTGATGGTTCGACTATTAGGTCACGACTGGGTCAGGGCGAACAGGCACTCTCATAATGTCATGTTGCATGCGTCCCGATTGATCTCGGACAGCTATTCGATGGGGTCTAACCGGTCTAACATGGTTGATTCCACAGCCGAGCTGCAATTCTGATAGACGTGGACAACAGATCGACGGTATGACGCGTTGAAGTTGAGTTCTCCATCAATGGAAGTTGTAGCGCTTCCATCTAACAAGCAAAATAAGATACCATTTTTGTGCAATATTTTATTTTTTGCAGAAACGGCATGAATTTTCAATTACTAAAATGCTGCTGAAAATACTAACACATTTGCAATAAATTGATAAAAAGCATTTAAATTGTCTTATTTATAATAAATCAAAACTCTCAACGGAATCCTTAATTGATTTTAAATGTATCGGATAGCAAAATAATCATTTCCAATTTTTGAACGTCCAATAAAACATCCATTGAGAATGATATCTCATAAGTAACGTTTGCATTTAAAAAAATGGACAAAAAATGTCGATTTTTCTTGTGTTTGCCTTCACCCGCACTGACAAAACTACCCATGCAGCATCAATCATAGTAGCCCATGAGTCAGCAGACAAAACTTGACAGCTCTATCAGTCGAACTCTAACCGTGATGGCAAAAACAGTGAAGCAACTCCGTTCAGAAGTGTGCGCGTTCAAAGAACGGCACCCCACCGCGTCCAAAACGGACGTCGTGCGGCACTTTGTGAACGTCGGATACGCCCGTTTCGGCATCTACGACATCTTGGCAGTATTAGACAACAATCAGAGCATCGAACGAAAGCCCGGTTCCGGACGGCCGACGACCCTGAGCGACAAGAAGCTCCAAAGGATGTTGAAGAGGAAGACCGAGGCAAAAGTGGCTACATCGCTGCAGGCGCTTGGCCTGGAGGTCGGTGCAACTGGCCAAACAGTGAAAAAGTACCTGGCGAACATGAACATACACACTTAGAAATAACTAATTTTACACGTGATGGAATCCATCTTTGACATAAAGTATGAAACGTAAACAAACATGTTATGTAAAATTAAGGGCTCCGAGATTGAACAGTTCGTGGCTCGACGAAAAGTACGTTTGATTGAACTGAATTTTGCGTCTGTTATGACTCAAATTTATGTCAAAATTGACGCTCGTATATGTCAGTGTCAGAGCACCTATATTTACATGAATTGTTCCAAGTGTGTACATGTCAGGAAGCGGAAATCACGTCCACTGGTTTCGGAGCTGCAGGCAATGACGCAGCGGCAGCAGGTGAATAAGATGGTCAACTCGTTTTCCCGGCGAATCGCGACGTGGTGGTGGTGATGGACGACGAGACCTATCTCACCCTGGATGGTAACAACTGGCAGGGCACTTCGTATCTTACTTCCCCCACGAAGGAAGTGAGCTCCGAGGTGAAGTTCATTTCACACACCAAGTTCCCCAAGAAGGTGCTGATGTGGATCAGCGAGAAGGGGATGTCGAAGCCGCTCTTCTTTCGCTCCGGACTGGCCGTGAACAGGGAAATTTATAGTACGAAATGCCTGCCGAAAGTTGCGTCGTTCTTAAAGAATACCATCAGGGCGAAGACGCGGTGTTCTGGCCGGATCTGGCGTCGGCCCACTACTCGAAGCGATCGTTGGAGGAGATGGAGCGATGTGGTACCCAAGTCGGCGAACCCGCTCAACGTCCCCCAGCTGCGTCCCATCGAGAATTTCTGGGCCAACCTGAAGCGTAAGATCTACTCCAACAATGTTGTCGCGAAAACTGAGGAGGAATTGATAAATAAAACGTAGAAAGAACTAAAAACATGCCTAAACGCATGTTTTTGTCCGTCATGGCGAATGTTCCAGTTAACTGCCGGAAGGTCGCTCGCAAGGGCGTAGAATTTTTTGCAAATAAGCTTAAATAATTACCTTCCATGGAAAATTTATCAAAAGAAATTATCTGTCTTAGCTTTTTTTTATCACCATAAAAAAAAAAGTTCATTTTTTTAATGCAAACGTTATGATTGTAATGTTTAGTTTGTCGAAATCGATGAAGCATAATTTTCATGCAACAATGCACGTGATCACGCTTCGTGTCACTTTTGTCATGACTGATGAGTATAAGCTTCTGTAGTTGATAGCAATATTATGTTACTTTTAGACTCGCCATCAGTCCGCAATTGTAGGTTATGTAGCTTAGACATGCAGTCAATGAGCTTAGTGCTCGAATGAATTGATTCATCACCTTGCTTCGCAACCAAACAAACCATGAGCTGTCACCTATGGCTACAATTCCAAACATTTCCGTTATGCACATAACTACGCTGCTATCGCTCTATCGCGGGACCACATATTTATATTGCGGGTAGCCACGTGAAGTGTACCTGTCGATTACATACTATAAAGGTAAAATCAAGAAAAGCACATCATTTTAGCAAATGCAGTCATCACGTGTTGCAGACAGTTTGTCCCATAGATAGTGTATATCATTCGAAATGTACATGACTAATGACAACACTGTGGGCAATTATTGCGCCCGCGTGTTGGCTGAGTGGGGGATGACACAATATATGTAAATACATGAAAATGCTATAAGGTACACCGGAGCAAGTGGGAATGCGGCGTACACACTAAGATTTTTTTGCCGAGATGGGCACCACCGAGCAGCTCGGCATT